GCCCACCACAACGAACGGCCACGGGGGCCCACCACCACCCCCCGCAAACGGACGAACGGCCAAGAGCACCACCAACGATCCCCCAGCCCGCCCCCATCCTCCACCCCCGCTCTCTTCCTTGCAGGCCCCGCCTCGCATACCCCATATCGGCAGACACAACGCGAAACTTCCACCCAAACACGGACGCCAGTTAATGCGACTGTGAACAAACACAAACACCAGCCAGATCCACCGACAGCGAGTGCGGCCGCCGAGGACTCAGTATCGGGGAGAGGGCATGCAGCTTTGATAGGGTAGTGCAGGGATTGCCAACTATAGATTAGCAAGGGGTTATTGAAGGGGACAGGTGGTGTCCCTACCTTCCTCCTACCTTCCTACTTCTACATAGTTGGTATACCTTCCCATATAATTGTTTTTCTCGTACATAAGGAATACATATCATTTGCATATTATACTGCCATTTACCGAGGCTCGAGCACAGAAGAACTTGTGAAAAAAAAAAAATGAAATGAAGTTGCACACATCTGAATGTGTCGAACACACGTAAATTCGACACACTAACGAGGAGCAACACATCAATGTGTCGGCAATTCACCTTATGTGTCGCTTCAAGACCCTATGTGTCGCTGACCCGATTTGGGGAGTGTGTTACTTTTCATATACACTGGCTTTTGAACGTATCTTGATTTTCCGATTCATCGATGCTTACTTGTTAGATCCCTTCGAACTCTCATACGACGATGTCGCAACTCTTCCTGTCTCACTTTCAGCAGCATACGCAGGCCTCTACGGAAATAAGGCACTTGGTGCGGCTTTTGACGCACCTGTTTCTGCGTCGGCCATTGGCAAGTACGTCGACACACTTCTGGTCGTTTTGGGAGGCTCCAGCAGCGTCGGGCGATACGGTTAGTTAATCCTCGCCCTCTAGTCGTGCATTCGTCTTTCTTACACAATATCCAGTCATTCAGCTTGCCAAATATTCTGGTTTCCATCCCATGATCACCACCACCTCCCTCAAACATGCTGACGAGCTCAAATCCCTTGGTGCGACACACGTCATCGACCGCAAGGCGTCTGTTGTTGCAGAAGTCAGAAAGCTGACTGACAAGCCCATCTCGATCGTGTTCGATGCCGTCTCGAGTGCGGATACCCAACAGGCAGGCGTCGACGTCTTAGGTATGAGCCGATGCAAATGCAATGTCTGTAAGTCCCGTAAGCCAAGCGTGCAGATCAACGAGGTAATTACAGTCTATAAACTCCAGTTGGCGCAGAGGAGAGGCTAGTCATGCAACGGTAGACGTTTTGTGCTGTTTATCAGGTGGGCATCCATGGTTTTAGTGACGCTTCCCTTTCTAAGGCAGCATTACGAGAGGGTTCACTCACCCGCACCAACCCCTGCGGCGACCGGCTGCCCCGAACTTCGTGACGACGCCGTTTTTTGGTTCGCCCCACTCAGATCTCAGTACTCCGCAGCTCTACCGACGACCCGCCGTAACGACAATCATCCAACCCAAGAGACTCCGGTGGTGCACAGATGCCTCGTTATGCTTCCAGCATTCGATACTTCGATGGGCAGGACTTTGAATCTTCAATCATACCCGATGGTTCTTGGCGGTTCAAGATTCGACACAGGCCTGACATAGAGTATCGCATTATCGGTTGGAACAACATGACCGCTCCCCTCTTAACGATGAGCTAATTGATTGGTCTTTTGTAGGATCCGTGAGGCGAGGCCCGTGCTGCGGGAAACCAAGATCATCCTTGCGATTCTCATTCCTAGTGGTCCGCTGCAGTGGATCCTTGTCCTCCTTCAGGATATGAACTATGACTGGATCTCGTGCGGATTGGTGAGGACGATCGAGGGAGATGGGCGAGAAGGAATGCGAGGGACGCCGAGAATGGATGACAGGAGGCAGGGCCAGAATGCCGTCTAGCGAGACAGGGATCGCTGAGATTTACTCCAACGGTGGTGAAGAAGCTAGGTATGTGCGCTCGTCTTTTGGCTTTCAATGTAATTTAATGTTTGTTCTAGGTTTCTGGTGGAGTCTCCGTAGTGGATCTCCTGCTCTTGTAACTATCAGCCGAAAAGCGTTGTTTTGTTTCTTTTTCTCGCACTTCTCCGTTGACCGCCGTCCTTTCTGGTGCCTCCTTTCTGGTGCCTCCTCGCTGAGTTGACGCCCAGCCACGCCATTGCGCGTCAACTTCTCGGAGCGCAGTGAGGGATCTCAATCAGGAACAAACGTCAGCTGACTCTGTGAAACGATGGACCCATCTGGACAATTGATGCCGCACAGCATTCACAACTCTCTTCTGAACAACGATGTCTGATTCTAATCGCCCTCGTGAAAATCATTTGAAAGGAAAGTTCAAGGGAATGCTCGACCGGCTTATGGGCGCAGACCGCCCACGTAACGAAGGCTCACGCCCTAGCGGTTCGAGGTTCCAGTTCATGACTCCTACGCTGGCAGATAGCATCCTGACGAGATTTAGGTCCACATTTATGAGGGTGCCGGAGGTTTCGGGGGGAGGAACGTCTCTGGTGCGTGTTTATAATGTGTGAATAAATTCTTTGGCTCATGCCCTTTGTCTTTGGGGATCCTAGAATGCATTCCCTGGAGCTCACAACTTCGTTATAAGGGATACAACACTCTATGTGGCGGAAAATGTGTGTAGTGTGACAACAGCTTTGATTGTTTGAGATATTGATCAGACTTACAAGATTGAGGTCCATGAACATGCCAGTGGGGGTCAAGATGATACACTCCTCGTTCCACAGAGACCCAATTCAAGTGCCTTATTTACAGGCCGTGAGGATGTTCTCAAGAGGCTGATGGATCACTT